TACTAAACATTTATAAATAAACTTCTGACTGGTTGACCATCGTGGCTGCCAAAGGTTAAAAAAAAAAAAAAAAAAATTAGATTAAGATATTTGTAATGATAATTATATTAGTATAACTAGTAGGTTATAAGATATCTGTATAACTAGTTATACAGAAAAATACAAACTGGTATTAAATGATGCAAACTTTAGATAAATTTTTGTAGTTATTTAAATCTATTAAAATTAGAAAACAAAAAATCTATTTGAAAAGATCTAAGTAAAGAGGTAGTACAAATTTTTAACAATACTATTATAAAAACTAGACTACTAAAAACAGATATCAATATTAAAGTACTTAAACAAATAAAAATTTTTAAATAAAGATACTACTAATTAGGTTAGTAGAATAAATTAAAAAAAAAATAATAACTAATCTAATATATTACTAAACTGGTCATAATTTTATATAGACTATTTGAATTAAAAGTTTAAAAAACAGACAAAAATATACTAAAATACTAAAAATATACTGTAAAGTAGATACTAAAATTCAGATAAACTTTACAAGAGTATTGCAAGTACTGGTCTTGTTATAATAATATTAGTTAGTTATAAAAATAGTACAGAAGACTCTGAGAAATTTATCTTAATAATAAAATAGTTTTGAAATTAAGATAATAACTTGGATATAACTTAATAATATTAATACAAATTACAAGTTCAGAGAATTTAAAATAGAATACTTAAACAAGAATATTAGATATAACAATTAATGAAAAACCTTTAAATGAATTCTTTAAATAGGTAATATAAAAAAGTTATATATATCTCTTTTTTTTTTTCTTAAGCAGTCATGCTAGTACTTTATTAAGATTTTAAAATTATATTTGTAATTATATAAATGTTTTTAACAACTAAGTCTAATATTATTTGGTTACCTTAATAATACCTAAGTGCAACCTGTCACATTATTTCAAACAAAAATAAGCTACTTGTCTAATTACTTAAAGTTTATAATAAAAAATTATTACTCTTTCATAACAAGTTTCAAAATTGTCTTTTGTGTTTCTGTTCTAATTTATTTATTTTTTTTCTTATTTTCTTATTTTTTTCTTCTACCTTTTGTTGATTTACCTTTTTTCTCTTAATTGATTTCAGCTTCTTTTTTTCTTTTTTTCTTTTTAACCTACTTATTATTTTTACTTTTTTTTCTTATTTACTAATCTTCTTACATTAAACTCTCTATACTTGTTTATAAAATGTATTTTAAACTGTACTTACTATTATATTTGCAAACTTCTATCTTGACTTTAAGTTTAGAAGTTGTTATAATTAGTTTTGTATTTCTTTTAGAATTAGGCTTTTAATTAGTATCTCTCTTATTCTTATTTTTTTTGCTTCTGTTTTTTCAAAAAATACTGTATATAACATATATAAAAAAATTTAGATCTTTTTTTCTTTTTTAAGGCTATTGTGATAGTTATTTTTTAAATTCTTTTCTACAAATTTTTTTGTCCTTTATATCTTGTTAAATGCTGTTTTTTTGACTTTATCTTGATATATTTGACATTCTGTTGTTATATACATATCTGGTCTTCTTTTGTTAACTTCTTCTAGAGCCAAAAGTTTATCTATTACATATTTTATAAATGCACTTTTTCTAACACTAATTTTTCTTATTATACAATGCACTACTTCATTTGAAATTTTTCAAAATTTGAGTTAAAGTTAAATATACAGACTTATTATAAAATCTATATTTATATACTCATAAATTATTTGAAAATTAATAAATATAATTCCTAAAAATGACAATAAATTGATTTTTAGTAAATAAGACTAATAATATCTTTATTTTCATTTTGGCAAAACTTAGTAGTAATTGATGATGTATTTGCTAAATTAAAATATTCTTAAATTTACACATGTTTTAATTAGAATTTTATCAAATTCACTGCATGACATATTATATTTTTCAATTGTGCTGCAATATTGTTTATAACTATTTTATTATTTAAATTTTTGAATACAGATTGAACAAAAGACCAAAGGTATTAAATTTCATAAAAATGTAAATAGTAAACTCATAATTAAAAGACAACTTCTGCTCTTTTTATTAACAATTAGTGAAAATATTTTTTTTATAAAGAAATTTATATAAATTACTCTTTTAAAGATAATAATATACATGATGTTAACGATATGTCCTAGTAAGGATTAGACGTCAATGATATGTCCAAGTAGAGCTCTAACCAATAGAAAGCAGATGGGTTTTGGCTAAGGCAGATGGGTTTGACGCATAATTTTGCATAATCATATTATATCCTTAAAATTATTTAAGGTAAAGTTTTAAATTATTATTGTTTTGAATTGAATATAAGATAATACGGGGTTCAAATTAAAATTTGGTGTCTCTTGCTAAGGCCATACGTATGATAAAATAAGTTACCCGGACAATTGCTATAAAGGTATATGCCAATCGGTTTTGCGAGTTTACACCCGGTTCCAACTTAATCATGTAATCAACCAATCATGAATCCGTCTACGTAATAAATAGCAAATAAAGCCTAATAACATTACCGTTCATAATATATGGTATAGAAATATGGAGATCCAGTGGGGTTCCAACTTTCAGTCAACAGCATTACCAGAAGTATCAAATGACCTTGTGCCTCAAGAAGATTTGACAGAAGAGGTAAAATGAAAATCTATTGTTTTATTAAATTCATCACAAACTAAAACATTGTTTCCTAAAAGAATTCCGATGTTTGGGACGATAGCGCCTTAATAACTGCCTGGGATCATGCTGTTAAGGAATACCAAGTAATCAACTGGTTAACTTCGCTTTACAGTTGATCAGGCTTTTACTTTCGCTGAACGTTCGTTTCTTAGTCTTTTCATAGCATTAAAACCGAAAAAATTTCCAATAAAACTGATAACATTAAAAATAAAGGAGCTTTATCAAAGAAAACTCAACCAACAAGGTAAAATAATGACTTTTACCCGCAAATCATAATAATTAAAAGGCTAATTATAATACTAATTTTAATAATCAATCACTAATAGTGACAGTGAGTCAGGAGAAGCCTCAACGCCGAGTTCTGCTATTGACAATATTTCATCCAAGCAAGATAGCAATGAAATTAAACGTGCCCAAAGTGTGGATCGAGATGGTGAATCCATATTAAAATCTATTGATGATAAAAAGGTATTGATTGATTGTATATGTATATATAGTTGAATGTTCATGTTAATTGCCTCGTTTATCATAGGTTCGAGGAAAAAAGTCAATGGGATCAAGAGAAGCATCTATAGCTAGTAAAGGAATGCCACCATATTACTCGCATTCGTCTTCACATATAGGGTATCCATCGTACTCTTATCAGCAGTATCCTGGATACTATTCTTATCCATCTCCACCGAAGGCCGGGTCTTCTTTTGAAAATCCAACTAAAGCAGAGGCTGATATTTCTACAGATCAAACACAAAAAGAAGGGATCGATGCTTCGTCAGCAGATGAAACCGGCCATACACATATGCATAATTCTGATTCAGCGACAGGTGATAATCCTTATTATTCAACTTACGGATGGTACCACAATTATTATCCACCACCACCTCCACCACCACCTCAATTTTATCATCACACTCCTCCAATAATGGTAAAGTTTCTTTAAATATATCTATTAATATTCATATTTATGAATCTAAGTTTAATTCATTAGCTATTTCTTATTATTCATAGGATCCTAATGCGTCATATTTTCCAGGGTGGAGACCAATGCAACCGCCAAAGGTTTGCATTTTATTAATTGATTTTTGATTATTATGTTTATTTGTCTTGACACGATTTGTTTTGTTTAGCCACAAACTGCTGTTCCGCCACCGATGATAGGTAATTTCTATTTATAAGTTTTTTTATATATTACTGAATTATTCTAATTCCTAATATACCGCGTAGATGACGAAGCATTGAGTAATTTATTGATGGCTTGGTACTATTCTGGTTATTATACTGGGTTGTTTCAGGTAAATAAATGGTTTTCAGCTTTTGTTTAAGCTTCAAAGATCAATAATACTAATAACACTATATATTACTTAATAGGCTAAAAGAAAAAAGCAATAAATATTCAATGTGATTTAGAAAAAAAAAACAATGAAATGTAAAGAATAAAGTTAAAAAGGCTATTAATATAATATAAATTATATTGAGCTTTGGTGTTGAATTAATTTTTTATCACTTGTAAATATTATTATAACATATTAACAGTATTTTTAACAATAAAAAAAATATACAGTATATATGGGACTCCCTATAGCAAAGGAAGAGAATGAGTCAAAAAATTACAAAATTTTTAAAAATGCTTATAGGGTATGATACCCGTTATAAGAAATACATAACATATTAGGTTAAGATAGATTAGAGTTAAAGGTGTATTTATAAGTAAAATTATTTTTACTTAAAGCAACTACACCAGTTGTTTTAATTAAATTTTAAAATATTAATGATTTTTTGTTTTTTTTTCTCATATCCTGGTATGTACCCACTGGGTACAAATAGAACTTTTTTTGAAAATTTTATTTTATTCTAATCGATCTAATTCAAGATTTTGATTTTTTTAAAAAATTTTTTGGCCCATCTTCTCTTCTTGCTATAGGAGTCCCATATATAGATAATAAAAAAATAATTATTTATTATCACTATAAAATAATGCAAAACCAAAATTAAAAATAAATATTACAAGAGTTTAAGCCAAATAAACCCCCAAAAAATTGGTTTATAATTTTAAACTAATGTCGATATGTATTAGAAAAAAACTAACTATACCCGGGTACAAAAAAAATACAACCTTTAAAGTAACAAGGTTAGGTTTAAGGTTAGAATTAAAGATGTATTCATATTTAAACTTAGGTGCTGAATATTCTTACTTGAGTACAAATAGAAATTCTCTATGTATTATATGTATATATATATACTGTATTTTAGTGTAAAATAGAATACTCTATTATAATAGGTCTGTAATTTGGCGCTATTTGTATTACTCACTACCAGTGTTCCAACTATGGTTGCAACTAATTAACTTTTCCTGTCATGTGACTAAATTTGTTGATTGGCCAATCAAACAACCCGAATAGATGGAATATCTCGGAATTTAACTAGTTGATGATTTAATCAACTAGTTGTTTCAAAAATTTTTCCAAATTGATTAGTTGGAAAGTTGGATCACTACTTACTACATGATAATTTTTAAATCAAATTTTAACATTTATAGGAGTTCTTTGAAGCCATGTAATGATCTACACATTGCATAAATTGTATTATTGACTAACTGGTATCTGGCTTTAACGTCCCCATTTATAGTAATTTTAAGTTTAATAAAGTAAATTACCTTTTTTAATTTAACACTATACATGTTTATAAGTACAAAGTTTAACTTAAAAAAAATGGTAAGTTTTGCAAAAAGGAAATTTATACTTGGTGCAGGGTGCAGGGTGCATTTTGCCACATACATCTAATACTGGGGTGTATCACATCAGTCAATTTACATAGTGCACATGATATAGTGATAATCACTAATAATGATTTTTATAATAAATTTTTTAGATCTACGCTCTATATTAAATAATTAAAAAAAAAAGGCTTTACTTTGCTTTTAATTCCTCTCGCAATACTTAATATTTTTTAATTCTATAAATGTAAAACACTTAATAAAAGTTGTCTTTCTACATTAATAATGTTAGAATTTTATTTATCTTTTAACAACCAACTAAATTTTTCTCATAAACAGAATCGAATAAATAAGCAATGTTGTTCTGTTATCAATATTAGTTTCAATCTAATGAATGTGGTAATACTAGATATTTCTTTATAAAGATCTGAAAAAAAGGAAAAAGGATCTCTATTTTAATTAAATTTTATTATATACAATAGTTTTTGTTTAATAGTTGACAAACAATCAGTTATAAACATTTAGATTATAACTAAAGAATAACAATGAAAATTAAAAATAATTTTTTATATTATATAGTTTTCTAGATTAAACTTAGTGGTTATTTTTTATTTCACCAGATAAGAAAGCTATTAAGTATTTCATATGTTTTTCTTCTTTAGAAATATTATTATTTTCTAACTGCTTATTAACTTCAAAATTTCTGATACTTCGTTGAATATTTTGCAACATTTCTTGGAAAATTTCTTGCAATTCATCATTTAAACCAGAGAGTTGGATACATGATTCTTGTAGTTGAGCATCCATGTTAGAGTGAACTTTTATATCATAGTGATTAAATAACCCTTCAAGTTGCTATTGATGCACTACAATATTCTATATACAAAATTTAATGAATTCATATATTAGAAGAAATTTTACTAGTTCCACTTTATCAGAATTCACAAATATCTTGAATTCTTCAAAAAAATCATACTGCCTTAATGCTTCTAATAATCTAAATGTAGTTGAACATCCATTAAACAAATCTTTCTTCAAAATTTGGATATAAGAGAGCTCTTGCAAGGTGGGAGTTTTTGAAGAAGTTTTATTAAAAAAAACATTTAAAACAACATAGGCAAATTCTGATCTATTTTCTTCACCTAATCAACAAACACTTAAGGGTAAGTGAACCCAAATCTTCATCTATTTAACAAATCCATCTAATGCATTCTCTATCTCAGTTCGTAATGTTTCACAGAAATTTTTAAAATCTATTGTGTTTAATTTGTGTTTGGCATCAACTAATTTATCTTCAAACAACCTATAAATGTCTTCTAAATAATATTGAAGCTCTTGAATCTATATTATTATTTTATCTGGCATTTCATGGGTGCAATTGCCCAGAGAAAGAGTATTTATATTATTTGAGTGATAGATTTGTAGAGTTGGATCAAACCTAGTTAAAAAATCATAAACAGGTTCATAAAACCTTTGATCAAATTTAATAAGACATCGTATTTGGAGATTAAGTTGCTTATCTATAAGCCATTTAAGAAATATTTGCCATTTATATAAGTATGACATTGGAACATTTGTGCCATTTTTAAGTTGCTCAATAAAAAATTGAGCAAAATTAATATGAACTTCATAACGCTTAAGGTATTGTATAGTGGTTTTAAGTTCATATAATTACCATTAATGAATAGGCTGTTGATATTTGCACATCTCAAAATTAAATATTGCTTTATAAAGTTTTTTTAATATTTCCAATTTTAGATTTAATGAACTGTCCTTATCTGAAAGGTTATATCTGTCATGAAGATGAAAAACCAGATTAAATAAATTAAAAGGATGTTCTTTTAAAGACAATCCTTTAATAGAATCTAGCTTTCTAAATACTATATTTTCAAAATTCATTAGAGCAATATGGGTTGCATGTAATCCACAAGGAATTCAGAAAGATTGAGATATTGCTAATAAGTTGAATTTAGTGATAGCACCATTAGCCTCTGAAAACATATAGGCTGTATTATCTGTTATCCAATAATAACATTTTTGAGGATCAATCCTTTTTTCTTTACATGTTTCAAATACTATGGTTGAAACTGTTTCGGCATTACAATGTGTTATATCTGTTACTTTTATTATAGTAATTGTTGGTTTTAATTTATTAGCATTCTAACACGAAAAACAAATAATTAATATTTTTTTTCTCCTTATATGCTTTCATCAGCCATAATACTATATCCAAAAAATCTAGAAGAAGTATCTTTAGGAAGATTTTGATTAAGTGACAAAGCTGCTATCTCTTTATTTCATTACACTAAAGTTTTTAATATTACTCAATGCTATGACATCTCTTCAGTTAAGAATTGATAGATTGCTCTAGTGCATTCCACAGTTGCATATATGGAGGTTTGTCTTATATTACTAATATCAGTTGCTAATTTCACAAAGCTTACATTATATTCTTTTTTATTAATTTTAAATAATTTGTTAGCAGCATGACAAAATTGGACAGGCCAGATTTTTTTTGTCTTACAAATTGATGAATGAATTTTTGAAACTTGTCTTTGTTTTAATTGTTTTGTTCTTGCTATCTGTTTAGAAAACAAACAAAGCTGAGTGTAGATTTTATGTTTATCTTTTTTTAAATGCTGATTCTCTTGTATTAAATTTTTATTTTCTAATTCTAATGTGATGATAGTATGACCTTGTTGATATAAACTAGCATCAATAAAGTCACGTGTCTTGTTTTGTAAATAGGTAAAGATTATCTCTCCTTTATTAATTCCTTAAGAGTAGGTCATAGTTTGAAACAGGCTTAGCATATTGAATAGTTGTTGGTCAAGTAAGTTACAAGTACATATAATTATATCATTACATTTTCTTTGAGCACCAGCATCCATTTCTCGAGACTCGATAATTTTTTTTATCATAGAATTAAAATTATCATCATTTATATATTCAAATAATGGAATTAGATAATTGAGCAGTTGTTTTTGAATGAAAGTGTTTATTTTTCTGGATTCAAGGATTTTTTTTATCAAGATGCTAAAGTCATTGTTATTTAATTGTAAGAATTTTGAAATCAGATAATCAAGCAATATTGAAGGATTATTTATTATAGTTTGTATTTTTTTTATTTGATCACATTCCCATAAATCTCTAATCTTTTTAAGATGCTTATTTTGTGATTTTAACTGACCCATTCTAGTAATATTATCATTGTAAAATATGTTTTTTATAAGATTTGACTAACACAAAATATTTGTCTTTAGTTCTATTCATTAGGTACCTAGTCAATAGAGACGTAAAGATTTGACTGGATCTGTTATTTTAATCGTTAGGCTACAATTTTAAGAAAATATTGAAATAGTTTATTTGTATTTAAAATTTTTAATATTTTTACTATAATTAGGAAAATACAAACAAGTTAATTACTATCTCTCTCTTTGGTCTTTTTATATATTTCAAAGCATCAGAAATTGCAAAATCATGAATTACAAAAAACAAAATCAATAATTACAAAATAGGTTCATATTGGGATATATTATTTATTAAAGAATAATTAATTGAAATTTAGTGAGCTAATGATCATTGTTCACTTTGATGTTTAATATAATATAGATATATGACTTCTTTTACTACAACATGCTTAATTAAATTAGTGTATATTTGGTTTAAGTCTTTTTTATTATTAAAATAAAGAAAAGACACTATTAAGCAAACATATAAAACTGAAGTCATGATACTTAAAACTTATATTATTTAATTCTTTAATTATGTATGAATGATATATTTTAAGTAAATTGAACACAATTTTAATAAATTGTTATAACATTTGAAATGAGATCAATTTGATGAAAGATTTTTTTTTATTAATAAATTGAATCTGAGAATGTTCGATTCTTTTTTTTTTTTAACTATTTCCAATGTATTACATCATGGGGTGTGTGTGGCGCTCTAATTTTCTTTATTAACTTTAATGTTTGGAATCTATAGGTTTACATATTTAGTTGCTACGTACATCACCAATAGTGTTCCCTAGCTCCACCATACCACATTATTAACAAGTTTATCACTATTGTGATAACTCAGGTCTCTGGCTCCATGGTGTAGGACCTCTTACTCGAGTCTGCAGTTCCCTATCAACAATGGTCCTTTTAGGTTCTGTCTCCTTATCTCTATTGCCTTTTACAGTAATTTTCTAATCTGGGATCCTTATGTTATCGATGTTTCTTGTCAGATTATCTCCTTATCTGGGAGTTGTGTAACCCTGTGGCTATGTCACTCGACTTGTTCTTGTTGTAGTACTTTGTCCGAAATTGGAAGTAGGCAATCCTCATAGATCATTCATTCTTGTAATATTCTTGTCTGGAAGTAGAAATAAGAAATCCTCTTAAGATCATAACCATCGTGGTCCCGGCATAGCTTTTTCCCCAGTTGGAATTGAACTGGCAACCTTGTGAATGCGATCTGGGAGTGCTAACCACTGCACTATTGACCCGCAGGTCATGTGTTCGATTCTTGAATCAATGATTATATAAAAAAATGAGTAAATACAATACAATCAACTATAACTATAAATAAATAATAATATACATAAGATCTTTGAGTAATAATAATAAGAAAAGCCCCTTTTCAACATCTCTATTAGAAGTTATTAAAGCATATATAAAATTAGACAATAATTATTAAAGCATAAATTAGAAGTTATGCCTAAATTGAACATAAAAAATCTTCAATATGTTATCGATATGCATTGATGATTCTCTAAATGAAGCTATACATGAATCAAAAAAAAAAGTTCTAAAATGTCTTTACTAAATAATTCTCAATATTACTATGTTAGGACATATGTATATATTTTATAAAAAGTAAACGAACTACTGAAATAGTATACTTGCTATATATGAAAGTATAAAATCCTAGATACTAATCTTTTAATGTAATATACTTCTAAATCAGAATGATAAGAACTTGATAAGTAAACACGATCCTTTATTTGCGAACTAATCTATTTATAAAAAACAAAGAAATACACAATACTAGATGATATTCATATTACCATATTGAGATTTTTTTAACAAGAACTACTAAAATAACATACTCGTCATATTCAACAAGTGTAAAGTACTAGTTCAGAAAAGATAGCTAAGCTAGCATTATTAGTATAATAATGTGTTTCTAAATTAGAGCAATAAGAGCTTAAAACATATTTACCAAGCATTCATATTTAGCTAATTTTGAATATAATAAGGTATTTTCACATCTTCAGTGCCCTCTTCTGATTATTCAATTGAGTAGTAACCCAGAGAATTAAGAATTAACCATGTTCGCATATTCATAATAAGTATAAAATTTAAGTACTAACTTAGAAAAGATCATTATTAGCACAATAACATGTATCTAAATAAGACTTTAAATTCTTTTTCAATGTATCTAACAATAACGTGTTTTTAAATAAGATCTTGTCAAGTATTCTTCAAATATTTAACAATAACATGCTACTAACTGATTTTATCAAGTATTCAACATATCTAATTTAGATATATTATATTAAATGCAATGAGTGAATTATTTTTTCTATGAAATTCTTTTTGATATAGAACTAAAATTAAGATGACATATCATATTGACAAATTGTTTTTTTTTTTTTTTTTTAAATATTAAGGTGAGCACTTGCGACCCAGAATTTTATTGATAGTACATTTAGCTAATGGTTGCATTACAACTACAGAGGGCAATCATAAAAAGAGTATACAACTAGCCACTCATACAACTTTAGTCATTGTCTAATTTAAGTAGTCTGCCCGAAGGTTCTATACTAGCTGCCATACCTGGAACCCACTTGTAGGTTCCCTATTTAAC